GACCAATTTGACATCAGCTATTCAGATCTTGAGAAAACAATAGAAAAAATGCTCAGTCTACTAATTATACTTCTAAAAGTTTCTTAAGCCAGTTCAAAACTAAAGAAAAATAGAAAATAATTTTAAGGACAACATTACATATAGATGATAAATTATTTCAGCCTCCAGTAGCATTGGTTCAAATCAAGTATGATCTGAGACTAATCAATGTATCTAGGTTAGTAAGTATAGTCATGGTTACATGATTAATGTTTTGAACCTACATGAATTTTTAAAATATATTCATGCAAGATCTAAGATCTGAACTTAGGAATAAAAGTATTTTGATATATATTGAAAGCTAAAGCTCCCCATTATACTAGAGTATAATAAAGATTATTACCATATAGAATTCTTTTAAAGATTAGTTCACAAAGTTCTGCAACTCCTGAAGTAGAATGTGACATGATTTTATTTTATTTTCAAGTGGACTTCTTGCTCCTTCAGCCAAACAGCTCATGTAATTTGAAGCTACTTCTGTTTAATATATACTTATTATATGTGAGCTTAATACTAAAATTAACTTTTCAGATGTTGACTACTTTGCATTAAGTACGGAAATAAAAATGTCTATTGTCATCCATGTATGCACATTTCTAACTCTATATATGATTATATTAGGTGGTATCCACTTGGTTTCTGAAAATAAAATGCATTTTCTTCTAATAGTATGAATGTGAAAGGAGAAATTTAAATACCTAAATAAGTAATATCTTAGCGATTAGTTACTTCACTCACCATGCCAACATCTCTTTTGCTTAGCTCAGTAGTCCTCTGGCATTGTAACAGTATTATAGGAACAATGCTTTTCTGTGTGTGGTTTCCACAGTTCAGTTCAGTTCATTCTCTGTCATGTCTGACTCTTTGCGACCCCAAGGACTGCAGCATGCCAGGCCTCCCTGTCCATTACCAACTCACAGAGTTTACCCAAATTCATGTCCATTGAGTCGGTGATGCCATCCAACCATCTCATCCTCTGTCATCCCCTTCTCCTCCTACCTTCAATCTTTCCCAGCATCAGGGTCTTTTCATTTGAGTCAGTTCTTCACATCGGGTGGCCAAAGTATTGGAGTTTCAGATTCAACATCAGTTCTTCCAGTGAACACTCAGGACTGATCTGCTTTAGGATGGACTGGCTGGATCTCCTTGCAGTCCAAGGGACTCTCAGGAGTCTTCTCCAACACCACAGTTCAAAAGCATCAATTCTTAGGCACTCAGCTTTCTTTGTAGTCCAACTCTCACATCCATACATGACTACTGAAAAAACCATAGCCTTGGCTAGACGGACCTTTGTTGGCAATGGTTTCCTAGCCAGGTTCAATTTCATCAAAGACTTCAGCTAATATATCCAGTCTCTTCACTCTTTATGCCTCATTCCCCCTATCTACTCCCATCATTGTCAAACACTTAGTCTCTGAATCACAACTTGATTTCAGAGCTTCATTGAAGGAACATTTACTGAGTGAACACAGTGGACCAAGTACATGGCATTATCAAGAGCGTAATTTTGATTATCAAGATTATAATGATAGCAGTAGGCATTATCATTGATAAGATGCCTATGACTTGGTAAAGGGTGAAAAAGCAGAACAGTTAGATGAGGTACAAGCTATCTCGGAGGTAAGCAAATTAGTTTCTCTGTAACCAAGTTAGTTTCTGATGGATCTAGTACAAGTGTAGACTCTATTCCTCACAGTTTGTAGGATCTATTAATATAGGGTATCATGCAACAATCTAGGGTAGGGAAGAAATGTGACTAGTCAAACAACAAACTGATTGAAAAATAATTATTAATTGTGGATATATCCCTTTTGATTGTTACATTTTATTTGCCAAAAAGACAGATTTTCAGGTATAGGAAGTATGAAAGGCTCTAGTAAACAACAGAAGAAAGCCTACAGTTAAGTGTTAAAGGAGATGTCATAGAAGGTAGTCTACAGTATACAGATTAGGGGTAAAAAAATAGCTGGAAAAGAGCATGAGACATAAAGAAAAAATTAAGGACAAGCTATCATGCTGGCAAAAGAAAATGAACGCTTTTCTTCCTGGATAAATTATGGTGAGACTACATGAAGCCAGGGCAGCGAATTCATAGTGGTGTGGGGAAAGATCAGGATAGGTCAAAAGAAGCAGGGAAATTGAGTATCCCAGTGAGAATCTCCAGAAGACATAATATGAGAGAAGCTTTGAAGGGAGGTCTCCGTACATAAGTATAGATTATGTGCTAGCTGAGTCTTCTCCATAGAATGTAAGTCCCACAAAGATAGGAAATACAAGTAGGGTGTTCAATGTTTAATCTATAGCCCTGAGTGTAATGCCTGGCCCTTTGCAGGTACTCAAGTATTTGCTAAAATTAATGAATAAATGAATTAGGATCATCACCAGATCTAGAATTACTTAGATAATGGGCCAGGGATCAAGGTTTACCAGTTTTATGCATACATAAGTAAATTAACACTATTTTACATTATATTTATAAATATTTATATTCAGAACTTCTTTGTCTATTCTTTAGATATTCCTATTTGGAGGTTGATGTGCACAGACGCACTATACCAACTGAATTGTACTGTCATGTGTGATTTGAATGAACCATTTCAGTCCTATTGAACCCTATAACAGAATCAGTAGGATGAGTAGTATGACATTTTGTTTTAGCTTATTATACATCAGGTAGAAGAATGTAGTGATACTGGAAATAGAATTCCAAATAATTTATGAGGCTAAATAATTTTTCAGAGACTAAATATCCTGGGCCATGCTGTCAATTGTTTTATATATGAAGTGTCCTTTAGCTTATAAAATGAAATGTCAATTGGCCAGGAAAACAGAACATGCATTTTTAAAAGCCAACAGTGTAAAGTGATAAACAAAGAAATATATTGAGGCATCAGTTATGTAATCTGCCATGCAAAATCTACATTACTGTTATTACTGGATGCTATAGTACCCTCAAGTGCTAACAGTTTGAGATGTCAGGTCTGCAAGGTTGTGGAAGTTAAGCTATGCACCACAGAAAAGACAAAAATATACGCTTTATCCAAACTGCAACTTTCCACACTCAACTTATTCTATGAAACTATGAGAACTGAGCTTATCAGATAATTCATCACCATTCACAAAAGGAAGAAGAGCAGGTTTGCAGGAAGACATAAAAAATGAGTTTAGTTTTGGGCATGTAAATCATATGTACCTGTGGAATATCTATGTACAGAGATCTTGTGCAAAAATTCTAGTACTGATTTCCTCAGCCTTTGGGGATTACTGGCTCAGCCATGATCAGTTTTATCCATTCATCAGTGTGTTACACAGATATGATCATTCTAGTGTGTTGCTGTTGTTTAGTTACTAAGTCATGTCTGACTCTTTTGCGACCCTATGGACTGTAGCCCGCCAGCTTCCTCTATCCATGGGATTTCCTACACAAGAATATTGAAGTGGGTTGTCATTTCCTTCTCTAGGGGCTCTTTCTGATCCAGGGATCGAACCCGCATCTCCTGCTTTGGCAGGTGGGTTCTTTACCACCGAGTTACCAGGGAAGCCCAATGTGCACCATGACCTAAATATGTTTGAAAAGCACAGGTCCAGTGGGAAACTGGATCCATTAGTTTAGAACTCATGATATGATGTCTGGATTAGTGATTTTGGTGTGTTGACATCACAGAGGTGCTAGTAAAAACCAAAGAGAGTTGAAGTAACTAGAACCAGACTTTCTTTCCTGTGGTAACAATTAGAATCTGGGACACAGTATATGAAATAGCTCTTTGTAGTACTTGAACAATACACAGTATAGAACTCTGAAACAGGGGGAAAAGCAAGATAAGCCTTATCATTACCAGTTTGCTACCTGAAAACATTTTCTGGATGGTAGCATGGGGAGTGAGAGCTCAAGCTGAGTATGGACGTCTTGCTCAGTTGAAGAGACAAAGATCAGAGGTCAGAAAGGCGAGTAAACTAGAAGGTCAAAGTAAACTTTGCAGGTCAGAGTACCAGAGAAGAGGGATTTATGTAGAAAAAGAACTGAAAAACCCTTAGCTGTGGGTCCACTTGAGTCTGTCACTGAATACAAAACCACAAGTGCCTAGGATGAAAATCCATGAGGCCAGACAAAGAAATGTCAAGAAGCTTTATTCTGAAGAATACCCAGAACTCACACAGAGCTGGCAACTGTTTAAGTTTCAACTACTAAAAATGAAGAGACAAAAGAAATTGGACCTTAGCTGTAAGGCTAAACTAGCCAGGAAAGAATACTTTATATTGGTCCTAATAAGATTAAAAATAATCCTCAAATGAAGCAAGCTGATACACAAATAACTGACTACAAAATAAAATTCAACACACTAAAAAAGAAATCACCAAAACTGCAACACTCAAGTCACGATGTACAGAATGTAACAAAATTTACCAGACTTATGTAAAAAAAAGAAAAATATGATCCATAACTAGGATAAAAATCTAATTATGAGGAAAACATGTAGAAGAAGTGAAGGGGGGCAAAGATAGAAGGCTGGGAAATACCCAGACAAGATTTAAAAGATAAGAAAAAGGACCTGACAAAAGTCACTTGAAAGGAATAATACATGATGTTAGAAGAATTAAGAGACTGTTGAATCATAAACGTCATGTAGAGATAAAGTTTCAAAAGGAGGGAGTGGTCAATAAGGATATCAATAAGATAGAAACTGAAAAGAGTTCATTGAATTTCACAAGAATATACCTTCTATGCCTGACCAGAGTAGTTCCCATGGAGAGGTTGGGGTAGAATCCAGATTTGAGAAGGAGAGATGCTAATCATTGTTTCAAGGAAAGGTGTCTCAGATTCAGCATAGGCAAGTAAGTGTACATTTTATATTTAAAAATATATTCAACAACATTTATCAATGTCTCCTTTCTCTTATAGTCACGTTTCTTTCTAATATACAAACAACTCCCCAAAAGAATTATGAAATTAAAATTGTTACCAAAAAAGGCATTCAGCAGCTTCTGAACCTGAATATTGCTGCCCACGGTACGGTACAATCCCTCTGTCTTGATTCCTAGAGAAAGAAAACCAGGTCAGTTTTATTAATATAGCTAGAACTTTCATCTCCCTTAAGGTAGAGAAAGTGGGTACTTACACAATGGACTCAGTTCAAACAAGAAAGGATCTCCCTACTGTCTCCAATCTCTCCAGCCCTCCTCTACAATAGGGGAACAGTCCTGAAACATCTCTGCAAATTATTCTTTCCATACTTTCATTTGGATTGTACCAAGCCCTCAATAACATGACTAGAAAAGAACACATTCTATAGTAAATAGAAAAAAAAAATGCTTATGTGAGTAGCAGCGGATAACAGAGAACAGTGTCATCATTTTGGAAAGAAGCTTGGGTTTAGTTGCAAAAGGAGGAGATATCAACCTTCAAGTTGTCCCTGAGCAGGGATATGAAGTAAGAGAGAGCTACAGTATGGCAGGTGTGAAGCAAATAAACATTTTGTGTACTGATAAAGATTGAAGCAACATTTCCGGGGGCGGGGGGGGGGGGGGGGAGCCCTGGCTTATACACTACTCTTGCCTATGTTCAAAATATTCTCAGAAATAAGAAAGTATCACCAACCTGGAAAAATATTAATGCCACATTTTCTGGATTTTAAGTTTGCCCTCAACAATTTTTAAATCAATATGTTTTGTGGCAGAAACTGAACTCTTATTTATTTAGGGTGGAACTATCATAACACTGCTTGAAAAGTGCCAGATAGTATTTTAAAATATTTTATATGACATTTGAAGTTCTTTATCACTAAAAGCAGGAAACCACAAATTATTCATATTTGGTTCTAAGTGTTGCTTCTTGACCAGCATACAGTTTTCTCAGGAGAAAGGTAAGGTGGTCTGGTATTCCCATATTTTTAAGAATTCTCCACAGTTTGTTGGGATCCACACAGTCAAAGGCTTTAGCATAGTCAATGAAACAGAAGTAAACGTGTTTTTGGAACTCCTTTGCTTTTTCCATAATCCTAAGAATCTTGGCAATTTGATTTCTGGTTCCTCTGCCTCTTTGAAACCCAGCCTGTACATCTGGAAGCTCAGTTCACACACTGTTAAAGCCTAGCTTGAAGGATTTTGAGTATAAACTTATTTGCATGTGAAATGAACACGATTGTACAGTAGTTTGAACATTCTTTGGCACTGCCCTTCTCTGGGATTGGAATAAAAACTGACCTTTTCCAGTCCTGTGGCCATGGCTGAATTTTCCAAATTTGCTGACTTATTGAGTGCAACACTTTAAGCATCCTCTTTTAGGATTTTAAATATCTCAGCTGGCATTCTGTCCCCTCCACTAGCTTTGTTTGTAGTAATGCTTCCTAAGCTGCACTTGACTTCAAACTCCAGGATGTCTGGTTCTAGATGAGTGACCACAAGCCATGGTGGTTATCTGGGTCATTAAGACCTTTCTTGTATAGTTCTGTGTATTCTTGCCACCTCTTCTTAATATCTTCTGCTTCTGTTATGTCCTTACTGTTTCTGTCCTTTATCATGCCCGTCCTTGCATGAAATGTTCCCATGATATCTTCAATGTTCTTGAAGAGATCTCCAGCATTTCCCATTGTATTGTTCTCCTCTGTGTCTTTGCATTGTTGGTTTAAGTAGGACTTCTTTTCTCTTTTTGCCATTCTCTAGAACTCTGTTTCTGTTTGGTATGTCTTTCCCTTTCTCCCCTGTCTTTGCTTTTCTTCATTCCTCAGCTATTTGTAATGCTTCCTCAGACAACCACATGGCCTCCTTGTATTTCTTTTTCTTTGGAATGGCTTTGGTCACTGCCTCCTAGACAATGTTACAAACCTCCATATATAGTTCCTTAGACATTCTGTCTCCCAAATCTAATCCCTTGAATACATTCAACACAGCTGTATAATCATTAGGGATTTGATTTAGGTCATACCTAATGGCCTAGTGGTTTTCCCTACTTTCTTCAAGTTAAGCCTGAATTTTGTAATAAGGAGCTCATGATCTGAGCCACAGTCAGCTCCAGGTTTTATTTTTGCTGACTGTATAGAGCTTCTCCATCTTTGGCTAAAAAGAATATAATCAATCTGAGTTTGGTATTGACCATTGAGTGATGTCCATGTGTAGAATTGTCTCTTGGGTTGTTGAAAAGGGTGTTTGCTATAACCAGCATGTTCTCTTGTCAAAACTCTGTTAGCTTTGCCCTGCTTCATTTTTTACTCCAAGGCCAAACTCGCCAGTTATTCTGGGTATCTATTGATTTCCTACTTTTGCATTCCAATCCCCTATGATGGAAAGGACATCTTTTTTGGTTTTAGTTTTAGAAGGTCTTGTAAGTTTTCATAGAACTGTTCAACTTCAGCTTTTCTAACACTAGTGATTGGGGTATAGACAGATTACTGTGAAGTTGAATGGTTTGCCTTGAAAATGAACTGTTTGTGCCCTTTTTGAGGTTGCACCCAAATACTTCATTTTGGACTCCTTTGTTGACTATGAGTTCTATTCCATTTCTTCTAAGGGATTCTTGCCCATAGTAGTAGATATTATACACACACACACACACACACACACACACACACACACACACATATATATATATATATAAAATGGTTATCTGAATTAAATTCACACATTCTTGTCCATTTTAGTTCAATGGTTCCTAAAATTTTGATGTTCACGCTCTCCATCTTCTGCTTGACCATGTCCAATTTGCTTTCATTCATGGACCTAACATTTCAGGTTCCTATACAATATTGTTCTTTACAACATTGGACTTTACTTTCACCACCATCTATAACTGAGCATCATTTCTACTTTGGCCCAGCTGCTTCATTCTTTCTAAAATATTAGTAATTGCCCTCAGATCTTCTGCAGTAGCACATTGGACACCTTTTAACCTGGGGGACTCATCTTCCAGTTCCACATGTTTTTGTCTTTTCATACTGTCCATGAGGTTCTCCAGGCAAGTATACTGACACAGTTTGCCATTTCCTCCTCCAATGGGTCACTGGAGATTTCTGTTTTGTTAGAACTCTTCACTATGACCCATCCATCTTGGATGGCCCTGCATGGTATGACTCATAGCTTTATTGAGTTATGCAAGCCTCTTTGCCATGACAAGGCTGTGATCCTAATATTGCACATCAACTATACATCAATAAAAATTAAATAAATTTTAAAAATCATTAAAAAAGAATAATCAGATTCAAATGATGCCAAGGCTATGGCTCATATCTTACCTTTGGTCTCAATTACATTGATGCACTTCCTAACAAACTTGAACCCCACTTCATTCAGTTCCACTGTTTCAAGTAAAAGAAAGCAGAGTTAGATCCTGCTGTAATAAGCCTCACCTAACAAACCTTCAGGGATATGGTTAAGAGACTACAGTGAGAGAATTAGGGGTTTGGTCTCTCTCCTTCAGTCACCTTTAAATGGAAAAACTCTTCATTTGGGGGAGAGACGTGGCTAAAGTTTTTACTCTAATAACAAAAAATGTTTTTACTTGACCCTTTTTGTATTATATCTGCTTGAGGCATGAGCTACAGCAAATGTGAAAAATTAGGCTGGAAATGCCTAATTTCTATTGTGTGTCTAGAACAAGAAGAATATAATTAGTGTTTCTCTATATTACTACAACTACCCCACCAATAAGCTAAGATAAAGTGACTTCCTTAGTTCAATCAAAAGAAACCTTCTTAAAAAACAGGTCTGAATTTCATTTCACACAAAGGTATCCATAAATACATTTGCATCAATATTACAAATAATTGATGATAGCATTTACTGTGATTAGGATAGCTAACAGTTTATAATACCAGTAGATCAGAAATCTGACTTACTTTCTTCCTGTTTTGTTATAGGGCTGTGGTAGATCTACAAAAAAAAAGAGACAGAAAGAGCCACGGATATTGTGAATCACTATAGGTAAGTACAGCAAATACTAAATATCTTTCCTCAAATAAGCCATCAAAAGCATTAGTGACTTTAAAAGTTTAACAAGTAATAAAATGGGCTAAACAGAATCATCTTTGCCTAGGTCACTAGAAACAGTAGGATTAATAATCCCTGAAGATTACATTGGATTTCACACAGCTCACTGCAGTGGTAGCCTACCCATCTTAGACATTTACTTATGTAAAACTTAGAGAATTTTCCTGATGGAGCAAGAGAGTATGACAGAAAGGAAGTGGCTTTCTCCAGGTTATTGGCAGAAGAAAGCAGAGTTAGATCTTGCTGTAATAAGCCTCACCAAACAAACCTTCAATGATCTGGGTAAGAGACTGCAGTGTTGAATAGCTGATGGTAAAATTTAAATATTACAATACCAATCTCCTTACCCAAAGGTGTTAGTGGGTATTTTCTACCCATATGGGTAGAAAAACAAGTGCCCATCTGAAAGAGAGTTATGTATTCACCAAACTTTCTCTGAGTCATCTTAAAGTATGCATTGTGATAGCCATGTGAGAAACAAGAGGAGATCTTTGACTCTTGAAGCCTAGTCTTGGCTTTATGGCTACATCATTATGAAACTTATGCAAGTCCCATTCATTCTCTAGACTTCAAAATTCATATCTCTAAAATGATCAGTGTTGCAGTAGATGTTCCTTCAAGAACTGATCTTCTTACTATGTATAATATTAGTGAATTGGAGAGGGGGGTTGTTAATAGAGCAGAAGCAACATTAGTAATGCAGGAAATAAGTCCTCTACATGCCATCTGTATAATCTGCTTTAACAATCTCTCTTTTTATAATAAAATTTTCTGCCTATATGTGTATGCCCATGGATAGGTCAGTGAGACAGGTCAAGTTGATAAGGATCCACATTCAGAGGGCCCATGTGCTAACATCATTCTTCACAAAAAGGCATCTGCACCTTTTGATTTTTAAAACTTTAAAGGGAGAACAAATTCAGGAGAGGGAATTAAGAGTAAAATGACTTACAACATTGTAAATTAACTATATTTTTATTAAAAAATAAGAAATAAATATGAACAACAACAAAAAAGAATAAAATGTCTTGCTGGGCTTGCTAGTATCCTGCTAGAAAAATATCACAGGCATGTAACAGTTAAGCTCCAAGTTTCTGTGAGAGAAGGGAACAGAGAAAGGCCCTGGCCTATTTTCTGGATGACAGTCCTTACAACACCGCTTCTCTCCTGCTATCTTATTGGTTGCTATACATGTAATCTTATAGCTGGGCCTTCCTCACTAGTCTTCAAGGCACTAGAAACACACAGAAAGAAATCCCTGTAATATATTCTCCATTTTAGCAAGTTTTTGCCTTGCATAAAGCAAGAAGATTAGATTGTACCCAAATACTACTGAATTTCAGTAGCTTTGCACCAAGCCTTCAGACCAGTGAGAAGAACTTCAAACTGACATAGCATATTATGGTTGACAAACTGGCTTTCAATTTATTTCTTTCAAAGCAACTCTGTGAGATAGGTAGAACAGAAATTATTAAAACCGTTTTACTGAAGAGAAGAATCTCAGAAAAATTAAATAAGTAGCTCAAGGTCACACAACCATTGAATAGCAGAACCAAACCCAAATGTAAGCTTTAGGGATTCCAAAACTAAGAAGCTGACATTACGTCATATACCATAAGAAGAAACCTACACAGAAGATACTGGAGAAGAATAATGCTTTTTGGTGACCAGACTGTTCACATTGGTCTTTTTATGATAATTGTTAGCCCTGTAAAAGTATTGCTTGTAATCCTATGTAACAGTGTTCTAAATGGAATGGTGCATTTTGGGATATAGGATGGCAATGCCATCTCCTGCCCTTAAAGAGAATAAGATGACTTAGGAATGTAAGGGAGAGGCAGTAAAACCATTCTGAATACAATCTTAATAAATGCTTGTTCACAGTCATGAAAATTATTTTTCATCCTTATATATGAACACATATTAATGCTATAAACTACAAAAAAGCCTTAATTTTCTTTCTTAAGAAAACCTTGTGGGCATAGCTGAATAAGAAGAAAGAAGCTGAGAGACCTAGTTTCTAGGTCAATTACAATGCCTTTCTGATGCTAATTCTAGAGAAGTCTTTACCATCTTTGAAACTCAAGTTGCCTAACTTGTTAAACAAGAAATGTTATTCAGCATTTTCTTCTAACTCTAAACTTTTGAGTATGAATTATCTATCACCATTTAATTGTCCTGGACTCACTGCTACCACTAGAGCACACTCATATACTGGCCTATGTTACTGAAGTTTCCCCAGGGTAACTTACAGGTTCTTTCCCATCCATAGCCTCCATCCATAGTCTTCTGTTAGCTTCTGAAAGAGCTTGCAGAGTGATGGTTCCTGGTCTAAGGAATAAATGACAAGTTGAGAGCAGAAAAGTTAACTGAAAGAGTGGAGTCTTATAATCTAGGGTTCCTCTCAGCCCTGGGAGTTATGACACTGAGCAGACATAGGAATATAGATTTCCAATTTTTCAAAATCCTTTTCTACTCAGAAAAACAATGGAATTTAGAGAACAGTAACTTTGGAAACATTGGTGGAGGTAGTATCTCGGTGACTTAATGCCATGGTCAGGCAAGGAAATATGAAGGCAGATGCTGACACCTCACCATAATACAGACTTAAATTGACCCCATTGTGTGCTTAAAACAAACTGAAGCTCTCCCTGCCTCTCGTTCTTAGAAACTAGTCATTTGGTCTGAGTTCAAGCGGTTCTGAGCATCTTAACTGTAAGTACATATACCAGGAAAATGGCTTTGCTACTTCTACCACCTAGGATGTCCAAGGAGCATTTCGGTTGGAAAGAAGTCAACAACATGCACAGGGAGGCCTTCTGGCTGATTTAAGCAATCTTATAAATAATGACAACAACTACTAGTTACTGAATGCTCAGTAAGTGCCATAGTACTATAAGCACTTTATAAGTATTGATTCACTTAATCTACACAAGAAGCCTATAAAGCAGGGACTATAGAAATCCCTATTTTACAGAAGGGGAAACTGAGGCACAGAGAGGTTACCTGAGTCTGTGGTAAGTATAGAGCCAGGGTGCTGATTTAGGAATTTTAGTCCAGCAGCCATGTTCTTTCTTAGTTAATACATTATAAGGCCTCTTCTTCACGACATACAACTTGAAATCCAATTTTATTTTATTTATTTGCAGTAACTGCAACTATATACCCAGATATATCCCAATTTGGTATACACTGTTCTTCTCAGACCTTCAAAACCAAACTGGAATTTGGGGATTAATCATATTACTTGCAGGCATAAGGTCTCTCCCACTCTCTGCCTAGTTGTGCCACTAGAGATATTTGTTCCTCTTACTTCTTCCATGTTAAGATGAGACCTCTCTGAGTCATTAAATATAACAGAGTAATGACAAGAGAGTTCAGTGGGAAAGTCACTGTGCCTCAATTTCTTTAGCCATAAAAAATTTGAATCTGACGAATTGGTAGGTCCTTTTTAGTTCTGATACCATGGGATTCCTATCCTACCTGTCCTTCTGTCTCTTACTACATTAAAGTACTCCTTAATAAATAAAGCCCCCAAATGATCTTTAAGCCAGAATCAATTGAAAACTAAGACTTGGCTTTCAGTACTGGACTCTTTCAAGTTTACCTTTCTCTAGGAAATATCCAACATTTTAGACATATCTTATGGGGCTAGAAAGTCTACAAATCTCTATAAAAATAATTACCCAGCTGGATCCTGAAGCTAGAAAGAAGGAAAGCAACAAAATGGGCAAAAAACATAAAGCAGATGCTGTAGACTAGATATGAAGTTAAACCTATTACAGACACAGTTTTCCTGTTTAGGAAATCAGAAAGCTGGTATGTATCCTCTCTTGATCATACAGAGAAGCTGAAAGAATAAATAAGTGACTATTCAGGAAGCATTTGGAGATTCCCAGGTGCTATGAAAAGTCAAATCCAAAGAACAATATTGTTAAGAACAAAATGACAAAGTAGAAAGCGTACTGACTTCTAGGCCAGGCTTCTCCATCATGATTTTAGACAAATCCTGTGCCCACCCTGAGGTCTCAGTCACTCCTCTAAAACAGAAAGGCATAAATAATATATTTGTAGTAGAGTTCAGTGGTTAAGAATGTGAGCTTGGAACTGTTTATAATAGCCAGGACATGGAAGCAACCCAGATGCCCATCAGCAGACGAATGGATGAGGAAGCTGTGGTACATATACACCATGGAATACTAAAAAAAGAATGTGAGCTTGGAAATTAGTATGCCTGGATTTGGATCCTAGCTCTAACATGTACTAGTTTGTCTAATCTAAGTGCTTAACTTCTCTCTGTCTCATCTTTGTGAGATTGGGATAGAAACACCGCCCACTTCATGTGACTGTGATGAAGACTAAAGGAAATTATACACTTAAAATGAGGTGAAGTAAGTCAGAAAGAGAAACACCAATACAGTATATTAATGCATATATATGGAATTTAGAAAGACGGTGATGACAACCCCATATGGAAGACAGCAAAAGAGACACAAATGTAAAGAACCCTCACAGAGAAGGCGAGGGTGGGATGATTTGAGAGAATAGCATTGAAACATGTATATTACCATATGTAAAATAGATGACCAGTGCAGGTTTGACGCATGAAGCAGGGCACTCAAAGCTGGTGCTCTGGGATAACCAAGAGGGATGGGGTGGGGAGGGAGGTAGGAGGTTCAGGATGGGGGGACACATGTACACCCTGGCTGATTCATGTTGATGTATGGCAAAAACCACCACAATATTGTAAAGCAATTAGATTCCAATTAAAATAATTAAAAAAGCAAAGGAAAACAATAAAATAAAGGCTGAGAATGGTGCCTAGCACATAGAGGTACTCAGTGAATGTTAGCAGTTGTTGCTGTCATCGTCATCATCAGTTATTATTATTATTACTATAATTATTGTCCATCAAGTTTTGATGGGCTATGAGACTGCAGCTCCAAATATTACTAGGGACAATAATAAAAAAAATATCCTCTATTCCAGAAATAGAAAAAGGGATTCAAAGAGTTATCTGTTCAATTCAGCAGGGAACATGAGTACAAATGCTTGATGTCTACTGAGAGGCCTGCCTCTGCCCCTTATATCAGACTGACCTGCCAGGAAAGCAGATGCAGATGTCATTTTACTCAGAAAACTCCACATGCACAGAGGCACCTCAGCCTCTGTGCATTATTATATTTGACCCTCTATTTCACAACATATTTATTCTGCTTATTTTTTTTCCATTTATTTTTATTAGTTGGAGGCTAATTACTTTACAATATTGTAGTGGTTTTTGCCATATGTTGACATGAAGAAGCCATGGATTTACATGTATTCCCTTATAATAGACAATGGAATAAAATTTAAAAGAACATGGGGTTTGGAGACCTACAAACCAGAGTTTGAGCTCAGCATTGCCACTATGTAACTTTGATTAGGCAAGGCAGTTAAACACATACAAGTCCCAGTCTCCTCACCTGTAAAATGAGGGTGGAGTTCAGTGCAGGAATATTTTTTAAATGCCCAATATGTGTATATTATCTAGGTGAAACATGTATATTATCTAGGGCAGATAACCTTCCCAGGTTGGGTACATGAGACAAGTGCTCGGGCCTGGTGCACTGGGAAGACCCAGAGGGATCGGGTGGAGAGGGAGGTGGGAGGGGGGACTGGGATGGGGAATACATGTAAATCCATGGCTAATTCATTTCAATGTATAACAAAAACTACTGTAATGATGTAAAGTAATTAGCCTCCAACTAATAAAAATAAAAAAAAAATAAATGCCCAATATGTGGTAAGTAAAATCACAGCTATATCAAAACTTTAATCCTGGGTTCTAGTCTAAGAATTCCCCAGTATTCTTGGGTAGGGAAAAAAATTTAAAAATGAATACCAGATTCAGTATCTACCATGAGCCATACATAGCACTAGATGCAATATAGATAGATAGATAGATAGATCCTTATAAATATATATTGATCCTTGCCCTTAACCTCAGGGCCAAACTGTTTGCAAATGCTTTGAGTCTATGAGAATAATACTTGCAAGTGGCTTGCAAATTTAAGCTGAAAAGTGAATCAGAATGGAATTAGACACAGAAAAATTTAACTTTAAGTATATTAATTCAGCAGACCCAAAGACACTGAAGCTTCATAAAAAGGAAGCCACAGCCAACAGTTGCTTTCCCCTTCCTACTGAGCTCAAAGTTGTGGGGTGGAAATGAGTGACAATCTCATGATTATCACTAACACTGTTTACTAATACAGCCATCTTTGATTGGGACCATCCATTCTGAACAAAGAAAGCATATAGATTCACAAACATAAACTGAAAATGGGAAAGAGAACTAATAGCTACTTATTCCAAGACAAAAAAAATGCCTTATTTTCTTAATCTGATCTATATGATTCTAGTTACTAATAGTTTTGCTCATATGATATTGTAATTCAACCAAGTTCCTTTCTAGCAATCTGATCTTTTGTTAAATTCTATTATAATACTTAATGCCTAATATATAGGAATAATGGATGGAAATAAAATATAGAAACACATTTACTCACTAAATTCTGGACCAACTTCCCAACTACATAACATGTCTTTTTCCAAAGTAATTCCAAATGCTCTTATTTTAAAATTTAAAAGTTAAAACTCCCTACAAATAAATTGTCCAGGTTGAAAAGATGAAAAGAGAGAATTAGATAGGAACAAATGCAACCAAGTCCAAAGATTGCAAGCTTGATGAAATCAGAAAGTTGATAATTAAACTATTTACATTTTATGTAAATATCTGAAAGGTAGGAAAAGTCCACATCATTTGCACCAAATGGGGGAAAAAAGAATCCCCAATACTACCACCACCCTCCATCCAATATATGTCCCCTTAAATATGTGTTTCAAGTAATTTGTTCTTGTATATTGAGATAAAAAAGAATGAGTTTTGTTACCCTGTTCTTTTGCAGCATCACCAAATACTGACCTTTTGCATATATCATAGCTAATTAAACCCTAGGAGTAACTTCTGCCTACAGCAAGTAAGACAAAGATGACTGAACCTTGAATAGACAGAACCAGCTCTGGTCCAGGGATCCCTGGGAGGCGCAGCCAAAAGAGCCAAAACAATGGTGTCATGAACAGTTTTGCTCATTTTTATCAAAAAGAGATGACAGATGAAAATAAAATACCTACCCAGGCTCAGAAACTGGCACATGGGACGCTGCCAGTTCACATCCTTACCTTTCATTTGTTTCTATATCGAAACAGAATCTCTTATCGATAGACTCTGTCTTCCTTCTCACACAGTACTTCAGCGTTAAGTCCAAGGGCCCCTGAAATAACAGAAGGAGTAATAGCTAGTTTGTAAAAAATACACAGAAGCTTCTTCTGCTTACTGCTGTGTCCTTAATGTCACTTGGAAGGCATCTGTTACAGCAGCAGGAACAATGTTTAGCCTCACTGAGGACCTTGTCCCCTCAAAGGGTAGTTGCAGCAAGGTGGCAGGTGGTTTTTCTCTGTCCTAAAAATCAATGACTGAGTTCAGAAGAAACTGCTCAGGATAAACCAGTGTTCTTTTCCAAGTGTGGTATATTAAATAGGAAACTCATAAGGGGGATGTAGGAGAAATGGGGTGCACAAATGGTATTAAGTATACAAAATAAAATTCCATGAGACTTCTAGATAGGGAGATTGCACTGGGTAACTGGTTTTCTGCAATGTCCCTTCCATTACAGTAGCAGATAGAAGATAGGAGGAAAAACATTTTTGGTTCCCCACTTCCAGAACTTTAAATATGATGGGAATTACAAAAGCAGTCTCTCCAAAGATAAGGCAGGAGTAAGGAAAATAAGGATATTTCTGTGATAGTCAAGGTGGAATTTGGTATTTCATGTGTGCAGGACAATGTGTCCCACATTAGTCTTGTGGGCACTTAACAAGGCCATAGGAATCCATTGAGTTCACAGGTTGAGTGTGTGTTAAGTTGCTTCAGTCATGTTCAACTCTTTGCCATCCCATGGACTATAGCCTGCCATGCTCCTCTGTCCATGGGATTCTCCAGGCAAGAATACTGGAGTGGGTTGCCATGTTCTCCAGGGGACCTTCCTGACCCAAGGATCGAACCTGTGTTCCCTGTGGCTTCTGCACTGCAGGCAGATTATTTACTACTGAGCCACAAGGGAAGCCCGTGTTCACAGAATAAAATTCCTCAAATCCCACCTAGTTCACTTTACAACAGAGGCAATGTGGTATAGAAAAGAGAAGTAACATTTATTGATTACTAATACATGCCATGTATTACGCTAGGTATTTTTAAACCACTTTTCTTCATAATAGCCCTCAGAGGGAAGTGAAGCTCAGAGAGGAAAAATGGCTCACCCAAAGTCACCCAAGTCAGTATAATAGAAATATCAATAAACTAAGAAGTTTAAAAGCTGGGGTCTTGTCTCAGTTATGACTTTTACTAAGTATGTGGCCCAAGGTAAATAATTTTTCCTCTCTGAATATAAACCTCATAATCTATTAAATGGGAATAATACGACCAACCTTGCTGTCTCAAATTCAGAAACACTGAATTTGTGTTTCTGCCCAAAGTGCCAGGTCTGTACCTAAGCACTATACTGTCCTAACCAGCCCATACAGGTGATCATCAAATAAATTCCCTTTCACTGTCACACTCAAGCCCTTTGCATGTCTATCCTTTTTCTTGCTCCTGCACTATAGAAACAAAGTTCTATATTCATCTTTTAATTTGTCTTCTAAAATTCCAACACTTGGGATATCAGGCATTCTCAGCCTTACAAGATAACAGTAATTAACTGCATCATGTGCTCACATTCCCTTTAAAACTCTCAACTCTATTAGATTTGGTAAGATGACATCACAGCTCAGGGGACAACATCCTGCCCACCACTCCAGGTTCACTTTCAGCCACCCTCATCTAATTTATGATGTCCCATAAGTGTAAAAGTACTATTTCACACATGTATCATCCTCTTTCATGATTCCAACTTTGCATATATTGTTTCCTCCACCGAAAATGACTTTATCTATAGTCTTTGACTGACAAACTCTTACTTGTGCTACAACCTGCAGTTCAGCTTTCATTTCCTCAAAAATCTTTCCCCATGGTGTGTATGCCCAGAAGTGGGATTGCTGGGTCATATGGCAGTTCTATTTCCAGCTTTTTAAGAAATCTCCACACTGTTTTCCATAGTGGCTATACTAATTTGCATTCCCACCAACAGTGTAAGAGGGTTCCCTTTTCTCCACACCCTCTCCAGCATTTATTGCTTGTAGACTTTTGGATAGCAGCCATCCTGACTGGC